AAAAAAAAAAAAAGTGAGTGGCTCTGGTCTTAGCCACTGAGGTCACCATCTACTGATCATATCCTGATGGGAGATGCTGGGATCGCTTCCTATCTCAAAACTCTGTCTCTTTGTTCAAAGTATCAGAAATTTCCATGCTGGGAGTTTCTCCCGGATGACTCAGTAGTATGAAAAAGGTGGAGGGAGCCAGAGATGGCCACAGGGCAGCCCGCAGTCAGGGCTAGCAATCGGATGCCTTCTGGACCCTGCTGCCTACGTGATGACAGTCCTTTCACACAGACAGACTGGAGCGGAAAGAAGAGTGGACCAAAGGGTCAAGAAAACTAGCTCTAGTTATTTAATCGTGAACTTGGGCTTTGCCAGGTGGCTTTGGGAGCATCACTTTCCTGGATCTTATTTTCTGCTGTGTTTAAAAAAAAAAAGCTGATAAAATCTTGTGTTTTAAGATGCCAGAACCACTTCTAACTCTGATGTTCCACAACTCCACAAGCTTGTCTCCAAATATCCTCGTACAGGGGCAGGTACATGAAAAGAGTTTGCCAATAATTCCCAGCCAGGCAGATACCAGACAACAAACTTCCCCAGAGTCTCTTGAGAAACCCCTAAAGGAAAGGTAATCCTTGGGCATGGCTTTACCAGAAGAATTTGGAGCTTCTTGTCTTCCTGATTCTTCATGTCTTCAATCTCAGCTTTCTCTTTAGTCAGAGTTTGCAACTGATGCTTGAGTTGATCCTGCAGGGAGAAGAAAGGGCAGAAAGCTGGGGTCTCTTCATGATTTAACTCACAGATTTCAACTTTCACCTTCCAGTCTCTGCTGGGCGCTGAGGACTCAGGTGGAAAAGGCACAGTCCTGGTCCTTCATACTCACAGGCAGGGCAGGAATGGGGAACAGGGCTTAAAATGTAAACAGACAGTTTCCCTGGTGGCGCAACAGGTTAAAGTGCAGCACTGAGAAGCTTGCAGTAGTCACGTCAGTGCGAGTTCAATCCCCCAGGCCAGAGGTGACCCACATGGCACGGCCCACCTCTCCTGACCTGCCCGCTGCCCCCCCTGCAGTGCACTTTGTAGGTCTGCCTGTTCTGCTCCCCACCCTGTCTTTGGTGAATCTTCTCACTGCCCCTGCACCTCTGGCCTGCACCCCAGTTCTGGGTGCATAAATAAATAAATCTTTAAAACTAATGTAAACAGATAACTGCCATGCTGAGGGAGCACACAGAGGGAGGCAGGCAAACTTTTAGAACGAGAGAACGTCTAGCACTGGCTTGAAAGATAAATTCCCAGTGGGAAAGAGAGGGGGAGGCGTATTAGTCAAGGCCCCTGAGTTGTATACCTAAAAACTAAAAGTGTAAAGAAGCAAGTGAAAAAGAGGGGAGAGCATTCTAGGAGGAAGGAACTACGTGCAAATTAGAAACAGGGAAGTTGCCCTCCCTGGCCAGTGTTCACTCCTCCCCTCCCCTCCCCCATTTGCCTGGGCTGGTCACTCCCATCTCCCAACTCCCCCTCACCCATCTCTCCCCCCTGCCACACACACCTCAGTGAGTCCACTAGAGTTTGAGTAACCTTGTACTTCAGTTTCATTTTTCACTGTGGGTGGGACAAGGAAAGAAACCATGATTCACGTGGAGCAAAATTTAGAAAACTCTGTTAATCAAAAGACTATTTAAACATTAAAGATCTGCAGTTTGGTCTGAGTGAACTCATGGTGCCTCGGGAAGGGTGGCTGTGACCTGAGACAGGACAGGAAGGCAGGTTCTGGCTGTGAAAGGGACACACAAGCCTTGCGAAAGACACAGCTTTCTCTGAGCACTAGGGACCTACGGAAGGATCACGAACAGGAGAGCAACGTGGGCAGGGAGCTTTGTGTTAGGAAGACCTATCCTCAAAGCACAATCCATGGTGCTTCAAAGGTTGGGGAGACAAAGCTGATGCAAAGTCTGAGTGTCAGGTGGGGAGAGTGAGCTGGTCACAGCTCTGGGGAAGAGGCAGAGGTACAGATCCGACAGGTGCTTCTAAGGTAACCACTTTGAGACCTGGTGACTGGATGGCAGAAGGAAGATTTGAGGTGGCAGGAATGGTCCCCACAATCAGAAGGGCTGTGCCATCCCTTCCTCAAAAAGAACAGCAGTGCGGCCAGGAGATGCAAGGCGCGGAGTTGCGAGACACCAGCCGCTGCAGTTGCCACAGCCCTGTCTTCAACTTCAACATGTTTCCCTTGTCCAGAAGCACACTAAATCGTCTCCAAGTTCGAAACATTCAGCAAATGATGGCAAGACAGAGTTGCCAGAAATGGACATCTGATTCCCATGATAAATATGGTTATGCATTATTAGCTAGAGGAGATGCTTTTTTTTTTTTTCTTTTGGCTGCATGAACATAAACAGCAACGCAGATTGGAGTAGAATGGAACTTGTCCCCTGTGGGGAGTCACCTCAAAGGAACGGAGAGATCAATAATCATCCCAGTGGGCGTAATGCTGAATTGTTTCCAAATCAATGTACAATTGATGCCAAGTAAAAACCACTGTGCCCCACATGCTATGTTTATTGCAGCACTACTTACGATAGGTAAATCCTAGAAACAACCCAAATGCCTGAAACTAGAGGATTGGATCAAGAGATGTGGTATATCTATATATATGTAGTGTGTAGTATGTATATGTATATATATATGGTATATATGTATACATATGTATATATGTATATACGCATACACACAATGGAATACCACTCAGCAACAAAAAAGATAAACTCAGGCCATTTGCAGCAACATGGATGGAGCTGGAAGGGATCATGCTCAGTGAATAAGTTAGAAGGAAAAAGAAAAATATTGAATGGTGTCACTTATAGGAGGAATTTAAGAGAAACAAATAAGATGGGATGGGGGGAGCGTATACAAAGCACAACACAACAAAACAAACAGATAATATAAACCAGAGACCCTACAGGGGAGGGGACAGAGAGGGATCAGAAGGAGGGAGGAATGTGGGGGGTCATGGTGATGACCGGTAGGGGAGGGGGACAGTAAACATTGTTGTAAAATGAACAATAATGTAAATAGATATAAATAAAAAAACCCACTGTATCATTAAAATATGGCATGACTGAGGAAATAAAGTACATTTGAAACTTAAAAAAACAGCAATGTTTGTAGCTCCCCCACACCTGCCCCTCTCTGCCCTCTGAACCCAGGGTCACGGCCTGACAAAACCCATATCCAGGCTGGTCCCGGGAAACCAGGCTCCCCATCCCAGAGCCCGAGGGAGGGCCTGCTCCACGCCCCTTCCAGGGGAGTGCGGCAGGCATGGCTACAATGCCAGCTGCTCCATCACTATGGTGGTGGTAGTGGGGGGGGGGGAACCTCTGGCCACTGGAGCTGAAGTCCCCCTAAGGCTGAGTGACCACACATCCAAGTGAAATGTGTCTGGGGCAGTCTGGGAATGTCCCCAGTGTCTGGACAGCCTCCAGGACCCTGATAGAGAAGCCATGGCCCTTCCTACTGAGCCCCACCCCAGTCCCTTCACTCTGACAGACGCTGCCCTGCCTGAAGCCTGAGCAAAAGCCAGGTTCTTACCAGGTAGGGTTGAAGGGCCTCGTCCAGGAAGCCCACGTTGTGGGACTGGTGGGAGGGATCCTCCCGGCAGACCACACAGAGGAAGTCAGCATCCTTCTCACAGAAGTAGTAAATCTTCTCACCATGCTGCTCGCAGTAAGCCTCCCCCAGAGGGCCCAGGGGCACCGGCACCAGGCTGTCCTCTTCCTCCTCCTCCTTCTTGCAAACGAGACAGAGCCGGACTTCGCCAGAGGCCTGGGCCCCCATCTTGAAGGGCAGGGGAAGTCAGGGCAGGCAGGAGTGTCCACAGGTGTTGGTTATTGGTTTGCCCAGGGGTCCCTTGCAGGCAGGACAGGCAGCTTCCCCATAGAGGTCCCCAGCTAAGGTCCCCAGCTTGTCTGCTCAGGCCTCTGCCTCATACAAATACCCTTCCTCTGAAACTGAGTCACTTTTATGCGAATCAGAAGGACTCTAAAGGACTTGGAAAGGACTTGGAGGCCAAGATAGAAGAAAGCAGGGAAGTTACCTGGCTCCACCTCTTGTGCTTCCCAGGAGGGCTGGCCAACACCCATTACCCGAATGGGTCCAAACTCCAGGCCTCCCCAGTAACCCAGCACTTCCCAGCAGTGGTCTGATCAGCCCATTCTCCACAATTTCTGCCTCCTTCCGGTCTCTGGAGTGGGGTGAGCATGCCATGAGGTCACAGGGAGATGGAGTTTCCTGGAATCCCTCCCTTGACATAGTAGGGTGGGGAGAAGTGGGGAGGAGATGCTGTTTCCTGTTCACCTGAGCAGGTGGGAGCCATAAACTTTGCCCTTGTGGCAAAGTCCAGCAGAGGGAGAGGTGAGTGACGTCTTGACGAACCAAGGGCAAGGTGCTGCAGGCCTACTGTGTGACATGTTTCAGGCTTCCTGCTCTGTCCTGCTTCCCTAGCCTTGCCCAGTCTACTGGGCCCGTCACTCCGAAACTCCCAATTCCCAGCCCCCGAACCCCCATCCGCAGCACAAGTGACCCCACCAGATTTTGAGTGACCTTGTTTTTCAATTTCATTTTTTCACTGTGGGTGGAACAAGGAAAGAAATCATGAGGCACAAGATTCATATGGAGCAAAATTTAGAAAACTCTAAATCAGAAAGACAAACATTAAACCACATTTAGCCAAGGCTTAGTATTTTGATGTTACCTCTAGGTAATAACAGCCCTTTGAGGCAGTGTGAGTAGCTTTGTTTTTTTTTTTATTTATTTTTTATTTATTTTATTTTATTTTATTTTTATTTTTTTATTTTTATTATTTTTAAATTTTTATTATTTATTTATTTATTTTTATTTATTTATCTATTTATTTTTATTTATTTTTATTTTTTATTATTATTTTTTATTTTTATTTTTTATTATTTTATTATTATTTATTTATTTATTTATTTTATTATTTTTATTTATTTATTTATTTTTATTTTTATTTATTTATTTATTTATTTTATTTTTTTTTTAGGTTTATTTATTTATTCATACAGAATTGGGGTACAAGCCAGAGATGCGGAGGGTGAGAGGATTCACCAGGGGCAGAGTGGGGAGCAGAACAGGCAGATTGATGAAGTACACTGCTGAGGGGAGCAGCGGGCGGGTCAGGAGAGGTCTGCCACGCCATGTGGGTCACCTCCGGGGCAGGTGGGAATCGAACTCATGCGGAAGTGGCTTTAGCTTCTTAGTGCAGTGCTTTAACCTGCTGCGCCACCAGGGAGGGCCCGTGAGTAGCTTTGTTTTAAGAGAAGGAAATGGAGACTGAAATGAGTGACTTCCCTGAGGTCAGAGACCTAGAAAACCACAGGCTGGAGTCAACCTAAGTCGGCAGCTCCCAGCGCTCTGAAGCAAGGTAATGAATGATCAGGCACCCACATTCTTCCTCCGCTCGCCTGTGAATGTGGATGGTCAGCCCCACACCCTGTCTCTCTCCCTTTTCACATCAACTATTTTGGACATCCTCCCCTTGACACCTCCCTCGCCCCAGGGAGCAGCCCCTGAGCTGTGCTCCCACCTGCAACCTGCAGTCGTTTGTGGCCCTGAGTGACAAGACATGCCAGTGCCAATCGAGATGTGCTCTGTGTAAAACACCCCTGGTCTTTTTCAATGAAAAAGATTATAAAATAGGGCCCTCCCTGGTGGTGCAGCGGGTTAAAGCACAGCACTAAGAAGCTAATGCCACTTCAGCATGAGTTCGATCCCCACCCGGGAGATGACCCACATGGCATGAAGACATCTCCTGACCCGCCTGCTGCTCCCCTCAGCAGCGTACTTAGTCAGTCAACCTGTTCTGCTCCCCACTCTGTCTCTGGTGAATCCTCTCACCGCCCGGAGACTCTGGCCTATACCCCACCTCTGTGTACATAAATAAATAAATTTAAAAAAAAAGAGTGTAAAATAGCTCAATACTAATTTTTCATACTGATGACACATTGAAATTACAATATTGGGAGCTAAAGAAAATATTGAAATTAGGGCCCTCCCTGGTGGCATAATGAGTGAGAGCACCTTGCTTCCCGGCTGACTGTAGCCACTGCACTGCAAGTTCAATTCCCAACCGAGTGGGGGGAGATGGAGTTGGGGGAGGGTGTTGGGTCGGGGAGGGGGTTAACCACATACCACAACAAACCTCTCCCATCTCAGCAGTGTATTTCATTCAATCTGCCTGTTCTGCTTCCCACTCTGTCTCTGGTGAATTCTCTCAGCCTCACACTTCTATCCTGTATCCCAGTTCTTATGTACATAAATAAATCAGTCTTTAAAAAAAGAAAATATTGAAATTAATTTTACTTTAAAAAATAAATTTGTGTTTTAATATTAATTTGGGGGTTACATTTTCTTTCTTTCTTTCTTTCTTTCTTTCTTTCTTTCTGTTTTAATGCTTTATTCATCCATGCATACAGAACTGGGGTACAGGCCAGAGGTGCAGGGACAGTGAGAGACTTTACCAGAGACAGAGTGGGGAGCAAAACAGGCAAATTGATGAAATACACTGTTTCCCTCAGCAGTGGGCAAGACAGGAGAGCTCTGCTGTGCCTTGTGGATCACCTCCAGGGCCAGGGATCACACTCGGTGCTGAGGCAGCTGCAGCAAGCTTGCAGTGCTGCGTCCTAACCCTTTGTGCCAACAGTGAGGGTCTGGGGCTTACATTGCCATTTGTGATAGGGACACATGTTCCACTCACTCTCCACAAACCAGCCTTGCCAGTAACCCATCTGCCTCCCTCCCCCACCCCTTCCTTGTCTCCCCGTTCCCTCTAGTAACCATTATATTCTTTCACTGCATTCAAGACTTATCCTGAATGTATTTTGTCTGTGGTTTTGGTTATTTATATTTCATAGATAATTGAAACCATCTGCTATGTCTTTCACTTTTTTACTTATTTTGCATAATTACCTTGAAGTCCACTTATTTTGTACCAAATGTCACTATATCGTTCTTTTTCACAGCTTTGTTGACATATATTCTGTGATTTCTTTATCCATTTGCCTACTGAAGGGCAGTTGGGCTGGCTGCATGACTTGGCAATTGTGGACAGTGCTGCTATTCTATAGGCATAGATAAATCTCTTTATATTAGAGTTTTCATATTATCTGGATAAATACTTAATAGAGGTATTACTAAATCATACAGGATTTCCAGTTTTATTTTTTTAGTAAGTCTCCACATTATTTTCTACAGGGGCTGCACCAGCGTACAATCCATCAACAGTGGATGAGAGTTATATTTTTTCGCTGCAAACTCACCAATACTCATTGATTTCATTGTTATATGGGCCATTCTCACAGGGGTGTGGTTTTTACTTATATTTCCCTTATAATTAAGTAATATTGAATAATGTTTCATATGTCTATAGGTCATCTGAGTGCCTTCTTAGAAAAGTCTCCATTTAGGGCCCTCCTCCGTGATGCAATGAGTTAAAGCACAGCACTACAAGCTAGATGAGTCTGCCTCAGGAGGAGTTCAACCCCTGGCAAGGGAGCTGACCACAGGGTGCATTAGGCCTTTCCTGTCTCATCCTCTGCTCCCCTCAGCACTGTATGTTATTGATCTGCTTGTTCTGCTCCCCACTCTGTCTCTGGTGAATCTTCCTAACGCCACTGCACCTTTGTCCTGTACTCCAGTTCTGTATGCATAAATCAGTCTTTTCTTTTTTAAGTGTCTATTTAGGTAAAATTTGAAATCTCACAGGTGATCTGCATTGTATTTCTGTTGGACGGCACAGCTGTGAAACACCCAGAACTGAGTGTAGTACATTTTCCTACTAGTGTGCCTGTACAAGCTAAATAACCTGCCAGAAGCCAGATAATATCCCAATAGTGTCAATGTTATAGAAAAGACTAGAGGAATTAAAGAGTATAATTTAAATCACTTCCAGCCATCTGAGGTCTAGAGTCATCATAAATAAATACTGGCTGCCATACAGCGTCCATCTTTCTCTTGACAGTCTCTCATCTCCCCATATTGGTACAATCCAACCCCTTTGGAGGCCTAGGGCTGATGGTTGGGGCATCACGGTGAGGTTGACGGTGCATCCCTTTGGGCATGATGACCTTATCTGGGCCCCCACACACCCCTGGACTGGCTGATAACTCCAATCTCCCTGGAGACAGTTGGTCATACCGCAGGCAGGCTGGGGTGGCATCACAGCTCCTTAACCCATCTCTCCTGCCTTCCAAAAACCATCTCTTTCAACTTGTGGTCAGTGACAATACCACCACTTTCCTTCTCCTGTGAGCGTGTCTGGATGGACAGGAAGGAACAGTGAGCCCTAAGTCCTGGACACTGGGACCGGAGTGGCCGAGTCTTCTTGGAAGATCGTGGGCTCTCCCTCCTCCTCTGCTACTGCTCCATCTATGCTGGTGGAGGTGGGTGTCTGTTCCTCTGGGAGGAGAACAGCAGAACCTGGACTTCCAGAAGAGCTAGTGTGGCCTTGGCCTTGCCCACGTGGTTCTCATGGGTGACTATGAGGGTGTCAGCATGTATTGGAGATGTGTGTGAGTACACGTGTGTGGTGTGAGGCAGTGTGCGTCCTCACTGTTCTCCCAGCCCCTTCTCCAAGCAGAGAGGGTGACCCTGAGGATACCCTGGCATCATGGCCTCTGCGGCCTCTATGACCAGCCTGGCAGATGAGGTCAACTGCCCCATCTGCCAAGGCACCCTGAGGGAGCCGGTCACCATTGACTGCGGCCACAACTTCTGCCGTGGCTGCCTCACCCGCTACCTGGAGATTCCTGGCCCCGACCCTGAGGATCCTTCCACCTGTCCGCTGTGCAAAGAGCCCTTCCGCCCAGGGAGCTTCCGGCCCAACTGGCAGCTGGCCAGTGTGGTGGAGAACATCGAGCGCCTGCGGCTGGTGTCCACGCCAGGGCCGGAAGAGGAAGACCTGTGTCGGGAGCATGGCGAGAAGGTCTACTATTTCTGCGAGGACGACGAGACGCAGCTGTGCGTGCTGTGCCGTGAGGCCTGGGAGCACCGTGCCCACACCGTGCGCTTCCTGGAGGACGCGGCAGGACCCTACCGGGTAGGAACTGGGAATTGGGGCCTCTGGTCTGGGCTGGGGCTGGGCTGGGCCGGGACGCAGAGCGGAGCCGGGAATGTTGGGCCTCTGGAAGCCAAATTCTGTGTCCCTGGTTCTGTCATTACCTAGGCCACAGAACCAGGCCTGGCAGATCATGCGTTTTAGGGAGTTTTATGTTGTTTATTTATGACCACCACATAGTGGGAACGCAGTAACCCCTGTTGGATGCTGGAGCGATGGAAGGGAGGGTGTGTCTGTCATGGTTGACCAGGCCTGTGTGAGGACTTCTAAGTTTGTACTTGACCCCAGACACCCCTTGCCAAAGGCAAGAGTTTTCTTGTTTACCCAGGAATAAGGAAGGCTCCAGGGAAAACAAGTCACAGCCTGTGGTGTGGCTATGTATTAATGTTTGCATGTTTACTGTGTGTGTAGTGTTAGCGGGAGGCCAGGCTGTCTGACTGTGTAAATGTGTAACTGAGTGAGTAAGTTGTGAAAAAATAGTATTTATATAGGCACATTGGGCAGTATATGTGATGTATAATTTTCTCTTATTAAATGGGTATATGCTGGGTTTTTGTTTTTATGCACTATGTTTTATAACAAGTGGGTATCTGTGGGTTTGTGTCAACTCATTCCTGACATTTGACAGTGAGAACTTATATATATATTTCTGAATGTACCTCTATGGACATTTACGTATGCATCTACGTATGTAGATAATTCTATTCTACAGCATGCAATTGTTTTTAAAGATTTATTTATTTATGCATACAGAACTGGGGTATAGGTCAGAGGTAGAGGGGTGGTGAGAGGCTTCACCAGAGACAGAGTGGGGAGCAGAACAGGCAGATCGACGAAGTACACTGCTGAGGGGAGCA